GAGGCAAAGAGTATGAACAATTGAGCAACTTTTCTAGTATACTAGTCTGTTGTCTTCCCACGACATCTCCAACATGGATTATTTCCTTTTTTATCAGCTTTATCAACAATTTGATGGGTATGATTTGAAACCACAGATCAACAGAAATTTTTATGAGAATCTTTATAGGGAGAAATAAATAAATAACTTAGTTTTGAAAGTTCAGGGAGTTTATATTCATGTTGGGAAAGGGACATAATTTTTTTTTTTAAGATAAGGGAAGGTATCTAAATGGTACATCTGCTAGGAAGTCCTCCAGTGCTTCATTGTATTATCTAAATGACCTTTTGTTTTCATCACCTAGGTAACTAGGTGGTGTAGGGTTGTTGTAATGATCTGTTGAAAAAATACTTAACATACTATCTCTTAACTCTAGGCATTTTCACTAACTTACCTTCACACCTATAATTCTCTCCCTCCTCATCTCTGCCTCTTGCCTTCCATCACTTCCATCAGATCTCAGTGAAACCTTCCCAGTCCTCCTGTATCTTGTACCTTTTATCTGAAATTGGTCTCACTTTAGCATATATATATGTGTGCATATGTGTGTGTGTGTGTGTGTGTGTGTGTGTGTGTGTGTGTGTGTATTTTCTGTGTAGTTATTTGTACATTACCTCCTTCATCAGGGCAAGGCCTCTCTGTTTTGCCTTTGAATCCATAATACTCAGCATCTGCTTTTAATGCTTAGCACTTGCCTGTAACAGGCAGGACGGAAACGTAACATATATTTATCAAATACTTTGCATGTGCCAGGCACTGTCCTTAAGTGCTTGATAAATATTATCTCGTATTTTCAGAATAACTTTGTGAAGTAGGTGCTGTTACTATCCCCATTTTGTAGTTGAGGAAATTGAGGCAGAAAGAAGTTCAGTGGCTTATTTAGAGTCACACAACTAATAAGTGTCTGAACCTGCATTTAAACTCGGGTCTTTAGTTCTTGTGCCACTTTTATTGCGTTGCATCAAAGTGAGCTAAAAGAGACCTAATAGATGCCTGTCTGTCTCTCTATTCCTCTCTCCTCCCCCACTCCCATTTCTCATCTTCTCTCTCTCTGTGACAGACAAACAGACTCTCTCTCTCTCTCTCTCTCTCTCTCTCTCTCTCTCTCTCTCTCACTACCATTCTGCAACTAATTCCTAGAAAGGTTAAGTGTAGGAACAGGGTTTTATTGGGTGAGTGAAAGGTCACAACTGCTAGATCTACCCCAAAGCTTCTAAAAAAAATGACCACAGAAAACACTGAACAGAATTCTGAACAGAAGAACCAAAAAAAAGTTTGTCATTTTTCCAGCTTAGGAAGACAGAAAGAAAAGTCTGCAGATAATAGGGTGGTGGTAGCTGAGAACACAGTGCAGTGGAAGCCACACTGTGTGGTGGCAACAGCAGTGGTGGGGAGCAGCTGTGGCAGCACCAGCACCCACAGAAAGAGATCCCAGGGTGCCATTTGGCAGCTCTGTTGCCTATTGCCAATTTCTAGGTCCCAGTTCCAGGGCCGAGAAGAGCAGTCACAGTCATAATAAAGCAGAACACTGACCAGGAAGTCTGTGACTTGATGTCTCCCCAGAGACCACTTTGGAAGCACCAAAAAAACCTACAGATTCTCAAAATGAACTGTGAAAACAGAAGGGCATACATAGTGTATAGAAGCTCAGGCCAGTCATACTCCCCAGAGTTGAACAGAGACCAACTCTAACAGAAAGTGCAAAGTCAAGAAGTAGGCTGTAAAAATTAACAAACAACAACAAAAAAAAGAACCTGACCATAAAAAGTTGCTGTGGTGGAAGGGAAGCCCAAGACACAAAACTCAGAAGACAATGACCTGCAAAAGCTTCAGAGGAAAAAAAATGAAGATTGGACAGGAGCCCAGCAAGAATTCCCAGAAGAGCTAAAGAAATTAAAGAGATTTAAAAAAAAAAAAAAAAAAAAGAGCAAAAGAATGATTTTTTAAAAATCAAAGGAGTGGTAGAGGAAAAATTGGGAAAAACAATTGAGACATGCAAAAAATTATGAAAATAGGGGCAGCTAGGTGGCACAGTGGATAGAGAACCAGCCCTGAAGTCAGGAATACCTGAGTTCAAATCCGGCCTCAGACCAAGCTGTGTGACCCTGGGCAAGTCACTTAACCCCAATTGCCTTAAGAAAAAAAAAAAAAAGAAATTATGAAAATAGAATTAATAGTATGGCAAAAGAAGCACAAGAAAATTGAAGAAAATAACTCCTTAAAAGTCAGAATTGGCCAAATGGTACTAGAGGTACAAAACCTCACTGAAGAAAATACTCTTTTTTTTTTTAAATACTCTTTAAAGTAAGAATTGGTTAAATAGAAGCTAATGACTTCATGAGACATTAAGAAACAATAAAATAAGGTCAAAAAATTAAGAAAGTAGAAGATAATATGAAATATTTTGTAGGAAAAATGCCTGAACTTGGGAAATAGATTGAGGAGAGATAATTGAAGAACTATTAGACTACCTAAAGACTTTAGTCATGACTATGAGATCGATCTATCTATCTATATATATGTTGTGTGTGTGTATATAAACATATATATATATACACACACACACACATATATATATATATACACACACATATATACACACACACAACAAAACCTAGCCATCATAGTTCAAGAAGGTGTAAAGGAAAACTGTCTAGATATCAGATATCTTAGAGCCAGAGGGCAAAGTAGAAATTGAAAGAATCCACCACTTACCTCCTGAATGAAATACCTGGATAAAAACACACAGAATTATTATAGCTAAAATCTGGAGTTCTTAGATCAAGGAGAAAATATTGCAAGCAAGCAGAAGCAATTCAGATGCTGTGGATCCATGGTCATGATCATGCAAGATTTAGCAGCTACTACAAAAGAGGAATGGAGGGCTTGAAATATGATTTTCCAGAAGGCAAAGGAGCTAGGCTTATAGCCAAGATTAACTTACCCACCAAAACTTAAGTATAATAGTACTGGGGGAAAATGGATATTTAATGAAATATGGGTCTTTCAAATATCCCTCATGAAGAGACTAGAGCTGAGTAGAAAATTTGCATCCAAATACAAGACTCAAACATAAAAAGGTAAACTTGAGTGTGAACTCATAATTTAACAAGGTTGAATTGTTTACATTTCCATATGGGAAGATGATACATGTAATCCCTAAGAACATTATCACTGGGCCAGTGAGAGGTAGTCTACTTAGCTTAAAGGGTGAGGGTGTGAGTCTGCTTTGTTGGGATAATGACAGAAGAAGAATAGAAGGGTCAGAAAAGGATGGGCTGGGAGAAGGGGGAAAGGAAAGGAATAGTGGTGAAAATTACATATGGTTGGCCTTCTTTTTCAAAGAGAACCAAAATGACATTACTATGTTATAGTCAAGCTACAGTTTGTCTGACTGGCTGATCAGACCAATACGAGCTTGGAATACCCTACTACAGGTTGGGCCCAAATATTTCATATGGACATTTGGGGTGGATTCTCTAAATTTGTGCATCTCACATTTCTTTTGAGCCACTGCAATTCTGCTTTGCTCATAGAGCACAGCACCCTCTTTGATGAGGGCACGCCATCCTGGGCAGTCTTGTGCCAATGTCTCCCATATCATGTAATCATTGCAAATTCTTCAGAGAGACCTTGAGAGCATCCTTGTATTGCTTTTTTTGACCATTATGTGAATGCTTGCTCTGAGTTCTCCATAAAATAGTCTAACATAAAAGAAATTTATGTAACATAAAAGAGGCATGCAAGGAAGAGTTTTTAGAGCACAGGGGAAAATGGGGAAGGGGGATCCAGTCATTGGTTCAGGAAGGTTATATTGTGTATTACACACACACACACACACACACACACACACACACACACACACACACAGTTGGGTACAGATAATCATCTTGCCTATTAGGGAAATTGCAGGGGAGGGGGTAGGAGCAATTAGAGGGAAGATAGATTAAGGGAGACAGTGGTTAGAAGCCAAATGGACTTTGAAGTTGGGGACAGACGATAAAAAGAGAAATAGAGAATAAGATGGAGAGAAATACAGTTCATAGTCATAACTGAATGTGGAATTGGGTGAACTGATCCATAAAATAAAAGAGGGTAACAGAATGCATTAGAAACTGGAATCCAACAATACATTTACAAAAGACACGCTTGAAATAGAAAAACCTATACAGAGTTAAAATAAGGGGCTTGAGCAGAATCTATTATGCTTCAGCTGAAGTGGAAAGGTCAGAGGTAGCAATTATCATCTTAGACAAAGCAAAAATAAAAGAGATAATCAAAGAATCTACATTTTATGCAAGCGGACCATAGACCATAAAGCAATATAAATACTGATCATACAGGCATCAAGTTCCATAGCATCTTGAAGGAAAAATTAAATGAGTTAGAGGAGTGTATGGAAAATTAAACCATTGTGGGGTACCTCAGTTCATTCCTTTTAGACCTAGGTAATTCTCAACCACAAAATAAAGAGGATGATAAGGAGAAAAATAACATTTTAGAAAAATTCAATATTGTAAATCTCTGGAGAATATTGAATGGGAATAGAAAGGTTTATACCTTATTCTCAGCTGTTTGTTACACCAGGAGAACAGTGTATATCATATAGATGGTATTGTAATGATAATCAACTGCAGTAGCTGATAATATCTTACATTTATATAGTGTTTTGTTGCTTGCGAAGTACTATACATATGTCGTTTGATTAGTATATATATGTCTCAGTATAATTTTAAAAGTATATATGTCTCAGTATAATATGTATATTGAGTACCTGTAGCTCAGTATAATCAGTATATTGTGTACCTATATGTCTCAGTATAATTTAAAAACAGATGCTTACTGAGTTTATAACTTGCCAATCATATATCTCTACTCTCAGAATTATGATGAACTGTAGAAAAAGCCTTAGTTGCATAATTAGACCAAGGAAAATAAAATATTTTTGTTTGCTCTGACAGATTTCATGGTTAGTGTTATTTCTGAAGATGAGAGTATCATTAAGAATATTAATCCCACACGGATTTCTATGAAAATGTGGAAACTCTCAGGCAGTGGAAATCGACAAACAGCCAATGTAAGTCACTAGAAAAGTATTTGTTACATATAAAGAGGGCATTTAGAAATATTAACCTAACTCCACTACCTTGATATTTCTAAAATGAAGATATTGGCTGGAATAGTTGAGGATTTTCTCAATTTTTAACATAACATTATCCATTTATATATTTGGTTAATGCCATCCTTTAGAAGGGCATCTTCTTTAAAATCTCATCAGCATCTTCAAGTAATTTTGTAGGAAGGGATAAAAAAATGAGAAAAGGAATGTGAACAGAAGTGTATGGATTTTCCTCAGAGGGCTAACTGGCAATTGCATATGAATCAGTATTCTGGGGAGAATAGTTCAAGAACACAAGTTTTATTATTTCACAGTGATTCATATCCTTTAATGAGTTTATCACATGTAATAGAGCAAATTTGGTCCAATCCTAATGTCCATCTCAACAGTTATCTGTATTTCTTTTTCCTCTCTTAATTTATATTTTGTATTGATCATAAGCAACCTTCAGTATGTAGCTATTTCAGAAAGGTCCCATATTTCGACTTTTTGAGTTAGAGAAGAAATATATTTACCCTGTATAAATTCTTCCGTCATTACACCTATGTATTAAAATGGAAAACATTAAGTTTATATAAATTTTTATTCTTTATGAGTCCTGTCAGTCCAGCCACATAGAAATTAAAATTGTATATTTGTCTGTATAAGGTTACTCTACTTAATATAAGCAGTGTTCCATTGGCTTTAAAAAATATATTTTTGCTAAGTGATATTGTTCAGAATAATGTTTTACATATAGAGTATCCCTAGTGGCATAATTTAAATTGTCTTCATTTAAATTTTTAATATGGGCTGCCTTATATACTAGCCATAGTATGTGAAATTTTTGTTTTTCTCTTCAGGTAGAAACATTTAATTGTAGTAAAATAAAGGATAATGACAAGGAAGAGGGCTTCTTTTATTTCAGGTATTTCTCAATTATTTTTGTAATTTGTTAATGAATACTTGTTATAAATTGGTTATCTTGAAAATATTTTTCCCACTCTGGGAAAATATTCCATGATAGCAAGTTTTGGAATTACTGGTTTCCATATCATTTCATTTTTAGTTCTTTACATGGAAGAAAGGGTGAAAAAAATCATCAAATATGTGAGCTACTGTTTTCTGTACTTAATTAGTGTTCATAATTATCTTATATAGAGAGAAAAAAGAATAACTTCTATATTATCATAGAGGATACAAAAAATTGTTCTGAATCTACTATCTTAGTAAGTGTTTATTAAACACTTTTCATGTGCCAGGCATTGTGCTTAGCGAACACTGGCATTAAAAAGAAATCCAAAAACAGTACATGCTGTCAAAGAACATACATTTGAATGGCGAAGACAATATTTAAATATCTAAGTACATAGAAGATGTAAAGAGAGTAGGTGAAGAAAATCTGAAAGAGCAAATTGGGAGGATCTATGGAAAGTGGGATTTGAGCAGAGTCTTAAAGGAAGCCAGAGAAACTTTTAAGAAATGGAGATGGATGGGCATATAGGTAGCTCCTTAAACATTCTGTGATTGGGAGACAGTACAAAAGCACAGAGGCAGGAGATGAAAGATTGTGGTCAAGTACCTTCAGGGAGGCCGGTGTAAATGGATTGAAGAGTGCTGTGGATAGGGGGGAACAAGAAGGAAACTGGAATGGAACGGAGGGGCCAGGTTATGAAGAGATAATTTAAATGATGTAGGAGTCGATATCTGATCTTGGAGGCACTGCAAGTAGTGTGTGTGAGACTTGAACAACACTATGATTTAGAAAAACAACTTTTTAACAGGTGAGTGTGGGATGGACCAGGGAGGGGTGGGGCAGGCAGAACAACTTGAGGCAGGGATGCCAGTTAGAAGGCTGTTGTTGCATTAGTCCAGGTTGAGAGGTGATGGGAGCTTGAATTAAGATTGTTGCTGTATGAGTGGAGAGAAGGAGGACGTAAATGAGAGATTGTAAAGAAGGTAATATTTGATAACGGGTTGAATAGGAGAGATGCATGAGAGTGAAAAGTCAGGCATGACACTGATGTTGTGAAGCTTGGATGCTAGATTGGAAGGATGTTGGTGCTCTTAACAATAAGAGGAAGTTTAAAGGAGGGGAGAAGAGTTAGCAAGAAAAGATGTTAAGTCGGATGAACCTATAGGTTGTCTAGTTCTGAAGGTCTGACAGGCATTTGGACATAAATGACTAGCTGAACAGGGAGACTAGGGCTACATATTTAGGATCTGATAATTATCAGTATAAAGATGATAATTGAATTGGTGGGAGCTGATGAGATCAAATGAGGTAGAGTAGAGTGAAAGACAAGGGAACCTAAAAGATAAAATAGTAGAAAAAGTGGCATCCTAGTGATTAGGAGCCTGAACCTCTCCTCCTTGCCTTGAAAAAACTGTATTTTTATAAAATAAGGTTTGTTAAAAGTTGTTAGTACATTAGACAAAAGAACAGTAGTTGATGTTGAAGTTGAAGTATACCAGTGTGGCATTTTTTTTCCCTAAATTAATGAATTCTGAAAATGCAAACCCTGGAAGAAAGGTGAGAAAATAGGAGAGAGCAAACAAATCCTATGACTTTAAGAAGTACAAACATTCGTTAGAATATTCAGGGATTTCTTTTATTTCACAAACACATGCTAGCAGAATTTAAAATCACAGAAAGAATTTTCTAATTTCTCAAAATTAATCACCCTACAATTTTGCAGTCTTCTATTTTTCTACAAACTGGACAGGAATGTTTTCCATCCAGAACAGATGTTTCTACAAAGAAAAACAGGAGGAAGCATTTCGAGAATCAAAATGTATCAACTAATGTTTGACTTTTACTCAGTTCCCTTTTATGGATTTTAGAAAAAGAAACACATAAACCCTAAATTTCTCTCCCTATTTAACTTTGAAATATTTTATCTTTTTAATTAAGGGATAAAGTGATTCCAAACAAAGTGGGCAGTTACTGCATCCAGTTTGCCTTTATGGTCGACAAATCTTCTGTTCTCAACAGTGATCAGGTTTGTCTTTAGCTTTTACATAGTACAATGTGATATGCGGCCTGACTGAAAACTGAAATTTTGGTATTAACTTGATATTCTGGTTCTGTACATTTTTGTGTATGTTATCAGTTTTAAAAAATACTTTTAAATTTAGAAAATGATAAAATGTTTTAGATTGTTATTTATGTCTCATACATTTGATTTGATTCAAAAGGCATTTTATAATTATGGATCTCAGCATCATGAATTTTAACCAATATTTATTGAGCTAATAGAATACATAAAACTCTGCATGTATAAATATTGTATGTAACATTTTTTAAAAATTCTGATTTATAAAGTTCCAAAAAAAAAATAGACTTCTGGATAGAATTGTAGTTTACTTTTTATATTGTAAATAATTGAAATGTCATATGATTAAGTTAATTTCCAAATGTCTTAAAATTTACAGTATTCCCTAATTAGGAAACATTAGAAACAAACTTTAGGAACCATTAGTTTTAGTACATTAATTTTTAAAATCAGTTTTTATTAGTTTTTAGAATGTTTTTCTGTGTTTTGGTGTCAGGCATTTCATTTTAGTCTTATTTCTTTTAAAATATTTTAACTGAATAAATAAATATCTTAGAATGTGAAAAAAAATTGGTTATAAGCCATCACTTCATTTCTTAATTCTAACTTATACATATGTGAGCAAATTGTTAATCAGATTGTTTTCCTTTTCTAAGATTTTAGTTGATGTCATACCTAATGAACCAGTCAAGTTAGTTCCTGAATGTCTGCCATCTACCCCGGCTGTTTCTAATGTTCCACCTATTGCCAATAGGACCTTAGTCAAAGACCTGTGCCTCAACATCGTGGTAATGTTTGCATTTTACAGAATTATCACAAAATAATTACTTTTGGTTTTATGTTAAATATATTGAGAAGACTGTATAAGGTTTTTAGACTAATAGAGCATTTTTGTAATAGAGCAATTTGATGACATGATAATTGAGTGACTCTTCCATCTTGAATATCTATTCTTAGACATAAGTAATCTAAACTAGCAGGTAATTTAAAGAGCATTATGTTTGACTTGGTAAAAATGGGATTTTGTCAACCATAGCATGGTAGCAATAGTAATCCTTTATTTATCCAGAAGTAATTTATTTGTTAATCTTAATTATCTTGTTCAGAAGAGCTAAGAACCTACGTTTTCAGGGATGGAAAAAAAGCTGACTATCCAAAAAAAGACATTGTAAAGTTTATGCACAAAACTCATATTTTATCATAGGAGAAATCCTTACTGAAAGTTTATTTACTCTATGCAGTGCTTTGCTTCCATGGAGATTTAAAAATGTATGGATGTGGGTGTGTATAATTGAATAACTTTCATTTTAGAAACAGTTTTGATAAGCTTAGCTATGTGGTTTTCCAGCCTGTATCAAATTGTAAAGGGGCAGAAGCTGTGAGTTGTTCATGCTGATACTAGTTCTAGGGGACGGCAGTGGAAGAGACAGAAAAACCCATCAGAAACACATGAGAACTCTTGCCTGATAATCTATAGGCATTTAATGTATGTAGGGATGTAAAGACTAATAGACCTCAGTAGACCTTGAGGATGTAACCATATTAAACTAAAATAATGAATGTATAGTACATAGTATGTTTTTTAAGAACTTTCACCACAGGTCATTAAAATTTTCTCAAAAGTTGATCAGTCATAAACCTCAGTAATTTAAAATATCTGCTTGTGCACAACAGTTTATTGTGCAATAATCTTGTTGCAATAATCTTGTATTGCATAAGCTTATTTTAGTGTTAGTATGAATTTGTTGAGTATGTATTAAATTGATAGTTGAAAAAATCCCAAAGTATTTTGGGGTAGATAGAGTAGTTTGTCTTAAAATGTTGTCCCAAGTATTTTGCCCCAAGATAGAATAATTAATTATTAAATATTTAGTATTAAAGTTCTTCAGTATCAGTTCTGTATTATGCATGTTAATGATGGGGAAGAGTAGTTCATTCCTTAAACGTTTCTTATCTTCCTTTATATTTATATTTCTACCCTCAAATTCACCTGGGGTTCAAATAAAGCTTGATGAAAAATCCTGAAGCCCCATACTATGAAGCCCTGGCTAAGGAACAACTGAAAAATTTGCCCAATATCCTGTTTTACACTTTGCTTCCCACTCTGTGCTGTTGATGTCAGCAGCATTATAGCTCATAGTGTCTTAAGTGTGAGCAGAGTTGTCTTTTGCTATATAGCTGATTATTACTTATCTTGAGGGCAGAAGGAGATAATTCACTTGTAGCTTGAAGGTCTGTCCTAATGGCTGTGTGTCCTGATGGCTAAAACTGGTTAAATGCAAGGGAGCTTAAATCTACCTGAGCGCTTCATGCAGCGTAAGAGTCATCACAGATGATAATCCATTTCACTTCCACTAACATATCTTAAGTTCCCGTTATGTGGAGGGTACTGTTTGCCCAGCAGGAAGGATTCAAGAATCTCTACCTTCAGGGAACTTACTTTCTGTCTTAGAAACCTTAGCTTTTTGTGGGTTGTGGATTAGATGGTTAGATGTAACTGAATAAGAACCATCTGGAAAGTTAATGACATAAGCTCTTTTTCCTTAATATAAGTTTCATTTTTGTGGTATTACATAGAGCATCTCCTTGCATTTAGCTGTACTTGATCCTGAATTAGTCATTTATGCCCTATTTGATTCACTGTTGAATGTAACATGCAAAAATGTTCACAAATTTTATGCTGTAGCTTGCCAGTACTATTGGCATTTTTCACACAAAGTCTTCAAATTTCCTCCATGTAGAATATCACTTTATATATTCATAGTGTATTATTAAATATTTATATATAACATATATATATATATAATATAATAATGGCTTTGGTGCCATTTGATGATGTATGCTGCATATACTATTCACATTTTTTTCCTATTTTGAAAAGCTAATAACCTTTTTATCCAGTACAGTATGCTTCAGTGATCCTTCTCAGTACTTAACAAATATTATACTATATTAGTGCAGTAGTTATCAGTGGAAAAGTCATAGTATCAGCTATTAGATATCAATTTTTTTTCATTTTTCCACATTTCTTGGCACCTAATTTTTACGTAGAATGATTATTTTAAGGTCACATACTGTAGGGTAAGCTAAAAATTATTACTAATGTAAATATAAAGTGATAAATCATTTTATGTATTTTCACATCAATATTTTGCAAATTTATTCATAAAGCTTTTCATAGGATCATGAGAGAGATGATTCATTGAGGACCCCTACTCAAACGCTAATCAATATTAGTTCATTATGATTCTATAAGGGATAATGATTGTTAGCAATTATCTTCGTATATTCATCTAGAAATACATATTTAGTCAGTCATCTAGTAATTGGTATAAGAATAAACAATGTATTAATCTATGTTTTGTGTAAGTTATATAGGAATATAGATTCTAATCAGAGGGCCCTGTAATAGTCCTCAAGCTTTAATGTAATGTTCATTAGTTTTTTTTTTACCAGCTATGGAGCTTACTTGTGTAACTGCAAGAATGCTGACATGGATATCTCCATCCTGTTTTGCTCAAATTCCATGACCAAACTAAGCATGGGTGGCATGGTACGGAAAGTCCCTCCCCGATATGTTTTTGGAGCATATGGTATAGCTTGTATCTCCTCTTACCTGACCATAGAGGAGCCCATCCATCTTGTGACCACCTAGTCAGTGGAGATATTCCTTGCTTCACTATGCTGATATATCAGTCTTGTTTATTTTAGTTTATGTGTCATGTCAACCAGTGGGATTCTATATTTTGTATAGCCACTTTAGAATGTTCAAGTAATAAATCTGCTATCAAACCCTGTTAAAATAAGGCACTGGAAGGAAGGGGTATCTCAAATTGTGAAGAAGGTCTGAGATCCACCTCATTAGAAGGGGCTGGGTCGCTTTAATAAAGTGCTTTGGCTCAAACCTCTGCCTCAGTTTCTCTTTTAGTCCTTTGGGGTGATTTTTGTCCCTAAAATCATGGACTTTAAGCTGGCAAGAATTTATCTTAAGCTGGCAAAGAAATTATCTTAGGTCCCTCCCCCTTCTCCCAACCCTGTGCCCCTGATTTACCATATAAATACCCTCAGGCTCATGTAGGTTAAATGACTTTTTGCCAAAGTGATTTTCTTTGTCCTACTAATAAATTCTAGTGGTACACTGTTAACTTTTAGGTCACTTTGTTGGTCCCCCAGCTACTAGTACTTTCTCTTCCAAAGGTTACCTTGTATTTTCTTTGTACATATCTCTTTATATATATATATATATATATATATATATATATTGTCTCTCAGTGGAATGTAAGCTCCTCGAGTGCAGATATATCACTTTTATATTCTTAGTGTCTGGCGTAATACCAAGTACACAGTTACGTTGCTCTTTATAAGTGCTTGATTGAATAAGTTCTCATGGGTAGTAGAGAGTAGAATGGCAGGTCTAAAGTCAGTGGTCTTTCCTTTCCACTACAAGCCTTTTTAACCTTGGTTCCTTTTTCTCAGTAACCCAATGAAATAGAGTACAATTATTGACTATATTGGGTAAAAAAATTAAAAAGAGAAAGTAAGTGAATTACCAGAAGGATGGTGCAGATTGGTGACAGTGTCAGCATTGACAGGTAAATTTAGAACCCCAGTTATGTGTGTAGTATCTTCAGTATCATTTTCTCTCATTGCTGTTTTTTTTTCATACCTTTTGAAGTTTTATGCTATAGCTTGCCAGTACTATTGCACTACAAATATCAGAAGGACAAATATGAGTCAATGTTTGGAGTACTGTACAAAATTCAGCATATCTGGGACTTGTCTGTCTCTTTAGATTTTTATTCCCAAAAGATTATTCTAATCAATTATGACTTTCTTTAATTTAAGGATGAACACAATAATCGCACTGGAACTAATTTGATTGGCAAGATAATTGCTAAAATTAAAAGTTCTAATGATGAAGATACTGAGATTCCACTTTTTAATGGGAAAGTTAAAATGGTTGAATTTCCATTTATCAAGGGATCAGCTGAAATCAAGGTAATTTTTCACCAATATTTTATGAAATTTTTGTTGGTATCTTTTCTATTTAGATCTCCTAAATTTCCTTCTCTATACCCTCCTTCACCTCTCCCAGAAAGCCTTCCCAAATAACAAAGAATATATTTTTAAAGAAAACAAAAGAAAAAGTAGATGAGAAAAAAAGTGAGCAAAATCCATTCTTGAAAACAAATGCAGTGTTCCATACCTATGGACTTCCCACCTCTGTAAAAGAATTTGGAGGAGGTGTCATCTTTTAATCTCTTTTTTGGGGTCAACGGTTTTTTTTTCTTGTGCAGCATTGTCTTTTGATTGTTTTGTGGTATTTCTTGTAGTTTATATAGTTATATCCTTTCTTCTCTCTCACTTCCCCCCTCACACACACACACACACACACACACACACACACACACACACACCTTTGCTTGACTTTGCACCAATTTATATCTTTTTATGCTTCTGTATATTATTCATATTCATTGTATCTTACAGCACAACAATATTTCATTACATTAATGTACTGTAGTTTTTTTTAGCTTTTCCCCAGTCGATGTGCATCAACTATATTTCCAGTTCTTTGCTTCTACAAAAAATGCTGCTATAAATATCTGCATATAAATTGGGGATCTCTTACCAAAGACTTCTTTGTGGTATATGCCTAATAGTGGAATCTCTGTGTCAAAGGGAATGGGCGTTTTAATTTTAATTTCTATAGTTCCGTTTGGCTTTCCAGAATAGTTGTACTAATTCATAGCTCTACCAACAGCTAATGTGCCTGTCTTCTTACATCCCCTCCACCATTAACTATTCCCATCTTTTGTCATTGCCAATTTTCTGGGTGTGAGTATATCAGTATTTTTTACATAGTAATCCAGGCAATGTATGTCATTGTATAGAACATCTAAATCAATGAAGTCATATCCATTTTAGCTTAAGTACACACACACACACACACACACACACACACACACACAACTTATAATTTTTAAAAAGTCAGCATGGTGTAGTGCAAGTCACTTAATTTCTGAGTGTGAAGCAATTTCCTAAGATTTAGCTACTAAGTTATAGATAAGTTTATGATCTTCATTCTTGGAAGGAGTTTCTATACTAATAGAATTACAGATACTTTAATTTAGTGACATATACTTCTTACGTGGGGAGAAATGTGAAGCTACTATTTTAGGTACTAATTTTCTTCATAATCTTGTGATGTTGCAGTGCTATTGTTCTAACTGAGATTTTTTAAAAAATAGAATGACAAGAAGATTTTGTGTTTTTTGCCAGTGCTTTTAAACCAATGATCCCTTAATTGCCAATCCATTGGTCTTTTATCAAACCCTAGCTTCCTTGTTTATGCAGGATTTGACATGGTTATCTTCTTGAGGGTAGGGATTATTTCATTGTTTTCCCTTTATATTCCTAGCACAGTGCCTGTCATGTAGTTCGTGCTTAACAAATATTGATTGATTGACTGTAATTTCCCATTGTATACTCTTTCTTCTGAATATTTATGACATTAATTTCTCTTGTTTCTTCTTCTACCTGTCTCCTCAGTCTCTTTCCGTATGTTCTCTAAATGTAGATTTGCTTCAGTGTTCTGTCAGGAACCCTCTTCTCTCTATATTCTCTCTTGGTGACCTCAGCTCCCATCAGTTTAGTTATCATCTTTATGGAGATGACCCTGAGATCTATATATTTAGCTCTGGTTTTTCTCTTAAGATCAAATCCTTTATTACCAGCTGCTTAGAGGACATTTCTAAAGATGTCTTCTATGGATCTCAAACTCAACATATCCAAGATGGGATTCATTATCTTTTTCTGTCCAGTGTATCACCGTCCTTCCACTTACCCAACTCTGCAACCTAAAAGTCATTATTAAATTCTCACTTTGCTACATCCCTCCAAAGTCTAGTCATTCTCTACCTTGTATTGATTTTGCACCAACATCTCTCACATCAACCCCTTTCTTTCCATTCACATAACACATCGTAATTCCAAGATTAGACTTTCATCATCCTTTGCCTGGATTATTACAATATCCAAGAGACTATATTTTGCCTTTTTTTATATCTAGCACTTAACACAACATTGATATTTAATAAATTTTTTTGACTGGTTATAAGTAGAACTTAGGGAAGGCTAGGTAATAGTGAAAAGGTGAGAGCTTATCTGTTTTAGTTAATTTGTAGAAAGTGCTGCCCCCAAATACATACATATTGTTAGATTCATTTTGAATTCTTAGTAATCATTGGATCTAGAAGGTGCCTCACATACTTAGGATATACTAACTTCTTTCTTCTAATAATCTCTCCAATTTCTGGTGCTGCTCCCCTTTCCAACTATCTTGTACTTAAATTACTTTGTATATATTCACATTTATTAACTTTATGCTGTATGACATTTTTATATGTACTTGTCTCTCCTGTTAGAATATAAGCTCCTTGCAAGTAGGGATTGTTTCATACTATGTACTTTTTTCCATAGCCTATAGTACATACACATGATGATCGATTGTATCAGATCTAGAGCTGGAATAGGCAATTCAAATGGAAGCAATTCAGTTTCCTGACATACTGTCCAGGTGTCGCAGGCATACAGCAGTGAGGTCAGCACAATGGACCTTCAGTTTGGTACTCAGTCTAATACTACTTCTCTCCCACATTTTTCCTTCAGAGCCTCTCATACACTGAGCTAGCTCTGACAATGTGTGTATCAACCTCATTATCAGTATTTACAACCTTGGAAAGTACACTACCAAAGTAAGTGAACTTAGCCACAGCATTCAAAACTTCTCCATTTGCTGTAACCAGTGTTTCCCTATATGGATGGTGTGGTGGTGGATGATCAAGCACCTGTGTTTTCTTGCTGTTAATTTTTAGGCCAGAATTAGTGCAGGCAGCAGAAAATCAATCCATTCTTTGTTGCTGCAAACAGAAAATCATGCACCAGCACTCTTTCCACTTTGGTCTTGGCTTGTAGCCTTTTCAAGTTGAAGAATTTACCATCAGTGTGATAGCTGACTTTGATGCTGTGATTGTCCTAATTGAAGGCATTTGACAACATGACTGAAAATATCATGCTTTTAAGCATGGGAGCAAGCACACAGCCTTGTTTCACTCCACTGGTGACTGGTGAAGCATAAGAGCATTGTCTATTATCCACAACCCAGGCAAGCATGCTGTCATGAAATTGCTGTACAATGCTGATGAACTTCTCCAGGCAACCAAATTTTGACATATTTTTCATAAGTCCTCACTACTGACAGTAGCAAAGGCCTTGGTCAGATCTACAAACATTTTGTATAGACCTCTGTCCTGCCCTTGGCATTTCTTCTAGAGTTGCTGAGCAGCAAATACTGTATCAATCATTCCTCAGCCCTTTCTGAAGCCACGCTGGCTCTTAGGTAGATGAGCATCTTCCCAGTGAAAGATCAGCCTATTCACTGGCAAGGACTCTGGCAAGAATTTTGCCAGGAGTGACTAAGAGAGGCGCCATGCGGTGCACCCGCATTGTCACAGGACAATCTATTTACTTTTATATGGAGGCATCCTTGAACTCCTGGAGGATAACCTCCTCTTGTCATGTAATGTGGAATTCAGTCAGGTTTTGTATGAGCGATGGACCCCCTACCTTGTATATCTAAGTTGGAATAGAATCAACACCAAGTGCTTTGCCACACAAAAGGAGCCTAATGGCGTTCAAAACCTCTTCAGTTGGAACTTCAGCTAGGGAGAGATTGAGTCCAACTTGAGAAATGGTCAGTGGCTTCAGCATTGATTGATGATGGTCTGTTGAGAACACTATGGAAGTGTTCAGTCCATCTCTCTAGGATCATGTCCTTATCACTAATCAATGTGGCTTCATCGGCACTGGTAGTTGAGATATATCATAAGTCTTTAGCCTGTAAATAGCCTTCAGGGCATCATAAAAGTACTTTGGATTGTTACTATCAGCATCAAACTGAATTTCATCTGCCTCCTTACTGAGACAAGAATCCTGTATCTCTCTCAGTTTTGCTTGCACTTTACTTTTGATGAAATTAAATGTTGCTTTCTTAGAGATACATGAACTTTCCTGTTGGTAAACCCTGTGGGGTTCTTGTTTTTTCATTTAGCAGCTTCTGAATTCTCTGTCATTTTCATCAAACCAGTCTTGATGTTTGCAAAGTATTCTGGTCCAGATGAGCAAATGCAGAGCTATACACCTAATCTCTTAAAACTGCCTACTCCTCTTGTGCTCCACTGTTGCCAACTCTATGTTGGCTCAACTTTCCCTCCAAATTAGCAACAAACTGTTCCCTGTCAGAGAGGAACTCTAATCTGTTCACATTAATTCTTCTGGTAGTCATTTTGTTTTGGGGACCTCGCTTTTATTGAATCTGAATATTTAGGTTGGAGAGAATAAGTCTATGATCAGTCCAACACTCTATGCCACACATTGCTTTCTCCACTTTCACAATTTGCCTGTCTCTTCCCCTTACGATCACATAGTCTATTAAATGCCCATGTTTGTTGCAAGGGTACATCCATGAAGTTTTATTGCGTTTAGGAAAATATAAGACAGCATTGGTAGTGAGAAGGTCATGAGAAGCTCAGGTCTTCAGTAGTAAGTTACCATTACCGTTGCTGTTTCCAACTACCTTCCTCTCCAGGACTCCTTGCCATGTCTGGTAGTCTGAGCCTACTCTAGCATTAAAGTTACCCAGAATTATAAGCTTCTCTTCTTTTGACACATTGATGATAACGGTCTCCAGGTCTTCATAAAATTTTTCTTTGACCTCATCAGGGTTCATCATAGTGGGAGCATAGGCACTGATGATGGTGACGTGACATTTTCCTATAACTGGCAATCGAATTATCATGAGCCTGTCATTCATTCCTTTAGGTAGGCATACAAGCTTGTAGACTAAATGAGCTGTGATTGTAAAACCTATACCAGCTTCGTGGCTCTCCTCTTCACTTCAGCTACTCCAGAAAAACATGTATCCAGATCTGACTTCA